GGATGAACAGATGGAGGTCACATAAATTAGGCAATATACAGTAATGTTTATATCATTTATAATGTTTAAGACTGTTACAGAACAAGTAAAATTAAAAAGCAGTATTTACAAGAAAATTCAGTTTTACAGAATTAGAGTAAAAATAATCCCAAGACTAAACTTAAATGCAATACATTACATTTATGGTATATTTACACACTGTCCTGATTGAAGAAAGCGAAGAAAAAAGAAATAAATTAAACCCACATACAATTCCATTTGTATTTGGTCACTGAGACAAAGTTTTTTTCTTTTATCAGTTTACTAAAACATTCAAGTTATATTTATGTAAGAAAAATTTGTATTCAATAAACTGAAGTCGATATTAAAACCACCATTGTTAAATAAAATGATTTGTAGAAGGAATCAAACCATACAACACCAGAATTCTGGAACTGAGTGAGGTTTATTGTCACTTGAGCTGACGGGAAACCACACTGGCGATAAACCAGGAAGTTCATCAATTTATACATGTTCTTCAATGCCTGCGTTCGCCCCCTACTTACCTATGGCTGATTCACAGGCATTCAGACAAAATTCTCATCTAATGTTCTCATAACGGTTGATTATGTGTTGTTATATAATTCGGACATGTAACAGAACCTATTTCAATCAAAACGTAATTGATTTAACATTGTCAACATTACAAAAATGAAAACCTAAAAATACAGTGTTGTGCTTTTAACATCAGTACTAACCTCTAATAACTATAAATGTCTTCAGTTATATAATGGACATGGACATAAAGTCCAGACTTTCATCTTTCATTTAAGGGTATTCCACTTTCTATGGAGTGGTCTGCTGGGGGGCTGGATGTACCGAAAGGGACAGGAACAGGATGGACAAACTGATACGGAGATCAAGCTCTGTGCTGGGATGTCCTCTGGAGCCTGTGGTTGTGGTGGGAGAGAGGAGGATGTTAGCGAAGCTGACAGCCATCATGGGGGCTGAGCTGCTCCTTCAGTCAGAGACTTAAACATCCTCGCTGCAGGACGGAGCGCTTCTGTAGGTCATTCATTCCACCTGCAGTCAGACTGTATAACACATCATGATGTTATCAGTCACTTGGACAATTCACCTGCACTGCCATCACTAATATGCACCTTCATATACATTCATTTATGTACTGTACTAGGTATATGTACATTGTTATATATCACGAGTATAGTGTTTTTGTTTTTCTTTTACTTATCTTTCTCTATTCTATCGCACCCTCTCCTGTTTTTGAGCTGCTGTAATGTGCAAATTTCCCCACTGTGGGATCAATAAAGTTTTTATCTTATCTTATCTTAAAATTGGATGAAGGGTTTAGGAATTTAGGTGTTTTGTTTGTGTAAACACACCAAGCAGACACTCTCCTATGATATCTGCAATTAGAGCTGTTCTGTGTTTAGTGGTACCTTTTGTGGTTTGTCCTTTTTTAGGGATACAAAAATACATACAGTGTTTAGGGTATAATTATAATTATAATTGTTTGTGCAGCGCTGCAAGGGGCCGAGAAAGAGTCAATGAGTTCTGGTGGTCATTAGGTGAGAGGCGGGGGACACCTTGACTGGTCTCCAGTCCATCACAGGGACAACCATCACAGACAGCTGGACAGGTCTCCAGCCCATTCTTAACTGTTCCCACTTAATAACTCAGGTGTCTTCACTTTCACTTTACCTCAGTTCTACATTCTGGGTCAAAAAACCTCCTGTGAGTGTGTTTGTTTTCATGTTTGTTCTCTTTGTGGCCCTGAGATGGACTGGAGACCTGCAGAAAACTGACTCTGACCCTGAGGTTGGTCCTGATGTGGGTTCTGAAGCCTCACTTCACTCTTTTGAATAGTGATGAATATTAGTTCACACATTTATTGACTTTAAAAGATCCTGATGCGTGAAGCAGCTCAGAGAAACTGCAGACACCTTCAGCGACTGCTTGTTGAATGTGTTATTAGTATATAGTTCCAGAGTTTAGGGTGATAACTCTCAATGTTACTGATTACTACAGAAAGTTATGTTGTGGTTCTGTTATCTTTTGCTGAGGAAAGTGTGCACGATAAGCCAGTGGAGCTAATTTCTTATCGTTTGGAGCTGCTGTGGAGTTCAAAGCTCAAACAAGAAAATATTGCAGAGTTTTCATGAGCAAAATGCCTCATATTGACATTTGTTTTACTCAGTCAGCATGCAGTCACGCATCTATTGAATTTCAAACCAGTTTTTTTTCAGGGCCGTCATAACATGATGCTCACTGTTTGTTTTTATCTGTCCTTGTGTTTCAGTTTTTATACAATTATTCATACAGCTTTCTTAACTTCAATAAAAACACACTGCTTATCCGTTTGCTTGACTCTGTTCCGCTGACTTCTTTGTGTCAGAATGGTTTTCTGATAAATGAACGATAGTGTCAGCTTTTAGTGTCAACTAAACCTTCAAATTACAGTTACTAAAAGTCAACAAACGGAGCAGTCATCAGACTAAAAATGTGACATGAATACATTTGCATGAACTTGAACTAAAAGTTAGAAGGATGAAGAGGGGCAGGGTAGACTGACCACCTGACTGCTGCTTCCTTTGAACCCACCCATCAGGGCTCATGACTTTAAACTTCAGCACTCTTTGTCTCGGTCCCAGTCTGTGAGAAGGAGCTCAGAGGAAACCCATCACACAGAGCTGGTCTTTCAGCCACGATGACCATCAGTAAATCTAAAATAGCCGTTGGGTTTATAGTGGCAGGGACTGCCATGCTGATTTTTGGAATCATGTCTGCCAGCCTGGGACCGGCGATAATGAAACACCAAATAAAAAAGGTAAGCTGCATCACATCTTACTGATGTCTTACAGGAAGAAGTCCTGGGTTTGAGTGGAGTGTACTCCAGGTTTCTGTTGGGTAATTAGTGACTCTAAATCTGTGTGGGTGTGAATGGTTGTTTGTGTCCCGGCGATGGACTTGGGGCCTGTGCAGGATGTACCCGCCTAATGTTCCACACCCAGCTCCCTGTGACCCTGCACAGGATGAAGGGCACAAACGATGAGTGGATTTATTTCTTTTTACATTTTCTGCTTAACCTGTGCAGATAAATAGTTCATCAAATCATTTTGTTCATCTTCCAGAAATTTCCTAAGAACTAAAAAGAGTCAAATTTCAAAAGAATACTCTTACTTAATGACTGAATTATAGCATATATTTTCATTTATTGCTCATATTTGTTCCTTGCAGCATTTGACGTCATATTTTTGGAGGCTTGATTGATTTTATTTTAATATTAATAAGGTGTATCTGTTAAATACCTGGTGAAATTATGAAAGTGCCGAGTCGTAAACATGTTCGTATGATATTATTTCATTATGTGTGGCCTGCAACCAAAAGCTGAAGCTGGAGCAATAATGTTGTTGCCTGTGTCTCTGTGTGTCTATTAGAAAAATATCAGCTGAACTGAATACATTTGGTTGAAAATTAATAAATAAATTCATTGGATGCATTTCTGCAACTTCCTAACTTTTGGAGGCAGTTTCATTCAAAATGACAACTGCAGCTAATCATTATGAGTCGACACAAAATTGCTATAATTCAGTCAGTTTACAAAAATCTTAGCTAAAATCTGAGAGCTTTTCACAACTCAGATGTCACACATTATCACATAATGTTCCAAAGTTTGATGAAAACGGCTGCAACTTTGTTCCTTCTTGTTGTAAAAGATGATCTACTGTAAATAAAAGGTGGCAGGAGATATGCTTTTCTTGCCTTTGTTTCACTGGTGGGCAAAGAATGGTGCCGTTTCTGCCTTTAAACATTTCCAGACTCTACCAGGGGCATTTTTTTTTGAAAACCAGGGTGTCAGACAACTTCCTCCAGTTATCTTTAATTTGATGATAATGATGATGATGACACCCTTATAAAATATGAAAAAAAATGTCAAAAGGCTTTTAAGGAATTTCACGTGTGGCTGCTAAGTGGTTACGGATGCTGAAAACATGATGGCCTTTTTGTTTTTGGAGGAACACAATACAAAGTAAACTTTTTGCACACTGTAGCCACAAAAAACGATTTTTTGGTTCTTCGTGAAATAAGCAGATCAGGACTTGTGATTGTGTCTGATTGTGCATATTTATTTAATAAAGTAAGAAGTGAAAATATTCTAGTTTTACCACAACAGCATTTTGTAACAACATTTTTCCAACATGTTGATAAAACAGTATCAGCAATCTAGTTTTACCCTTTTACTTTAGGAACAATGCACAAGAAGTTACCTGCTTCTCCAGTTCTAGTGTTCTTTATTTTGTAAAATAAAAACTTCAGAAAGCTTCTGAATGAAAGGTGCCGATTCTGCTGTCTAAAACGTGGAATCATTTTCAGATAGTTGAGCCAACTTTAACAATTCATACTAAAGAAACAAGCTGAATCTTTCAAATTCTGAAAGACCCTCCTCTCAAGTCTGATGGTCACGTTTTTTTATACTTTGTAATGTTTCATGTAAGAAATCTGACAAGATAAAATTAATATTTTGAGCTGGAATTATACAGGCCTGTCTGTTTAGGTATGCACTCTGTATTTGGGTGGATATGAGAGAAAAACCCACAAAAACCACACACACACACAAAAATCATGTTTAGATGTGTATTTAATTGATCTTTAAATAAATAAATAAATAAATAAATAAATAAATAAATAAATAAATAAATAAATAAATGTCTTCTGTTTTCATTTATAACAAACCCATGTAGTGTGGCACAAATCATTAAACTCTAAATTAAGCTAAACGAATGCCTTTTTTGATAACTGAAACAACAGATGACTATTTTATAATTTAACTAGTTAAAAAAACAAAAACTTTTACATTAGTAATACTAAAAACAACAACTTAGTTTGTTCAACATGTATAAAAAGATGCTGTGACCGTCCCACGAGCTGGCACTACATTACCCAGAAACCTCTGCGCGGCGGAGGCGTCACCATCAGACTATAAATATGGGCGCAATAACAATATGAATCAGAACTGGTCACCGGGAAAACAGCTGTTTTTCAGCGACATCAGAGCCGCTCCTCACCTGCTCAGGTGTTGGTTCAGATATTTATCAGTTTTTTTTGACAGCGGAGCGGCTTTAAACCCAAACAAAGAGATTTAAACCCTGACGGAGCGAACCACCGGCTTCAGTATGGCTTTCAATAAATCCAATGTATCCGCGGTTTTCATCGTTCTCGGGGTGCTCGCGGTGTTCTTTGGCATAGTTCTGGTCTTTGTGGGACCGATAGTCATCGATGACCAGGTAGTAAAGGTGAGTTCTGCAGCGACACTCAGCATCTTTACTGTCCGCTTTACTTTTTGTTCACCGGTTCGACTTTACTCACAGGACCGTCGCAGGTAAAGTCTCAAAGGGCTTTAAACTGATAAGAGGCGCGTGCAAGAGCCGGTGATTAGGTAAACACAGGTCTGTGTGCTCAGAGAAGAGCTTTCTACCACTAAAGGGCTACTAATATACTCTCATTTATATGATTTATCACTGACAGAATAAGAAAGCCCTTGCTATAATTTGTAAACTAGTTTTTTTCTGAAAAGATTCAGTTAAAACAATTATTTTAATTAAAAGAGCTTTAAAAGAACGTTAAATAGATACCAAAATCATGTTTCTAAAGGGCCCAGATCTGAGCTACCAGTGTTGTATAAAGTACCACAAAGTGATACTTGAGTAAAAGTACAAGTATCTTACCAAAAACTTACTTTGGTAAAAGTTAAAGTCTGCTTTAGGAATATTACTTGAGTAAAAAGTCTTAAAGTATCTGATATTTTTTGTACTTAAGTATTAAAAGTAGAAGTATTGATTTAAAATG